CTTTCATAGGGACCCGAGCTCTCTGAATGGTCAACTGCCTTCTTTAATCTCATCGGTGCGCAACTTACCTTCTTAGTTATTTCAATTTTTCTCTTGTGGAAAACCTCTTCAAAGGCCGTGAATCGTTCGAATGCCACCACGCCAGTGTTTGTTGCGACACCAACCTGAACAAGAAGTTCTGTGACTTGGCCTCATGAAAAATCGAAAGGCAATTTTAATAAGATATAGTTATATAATCAGTAGTTACCCTTTTCCAGTTGTAATGATTGAGAATAGCAGCGACAGCTTCAGCCAAGGAGTTCGTTGTCCTCAGCGAAACACGAGCCAGGGTCCTATAGATGGATTTGTCAGCAAATGCGTTCGACGAGGCCATGTAACCAACAACAGGAATGTTCCAGAAGGTTGCCATTTTCGCTACGGCGTCCAATTCTGAAAAGCGCTAATATACAAGTGGTGTGTGGCAATGATGGCACCAGCATGAAGGACTGAAAAATCGACTTGCTTAGCCTGCTCAGAACAAGGTTTGACAGTCAAAGGACAAAGATCTATAGGCCTAATGGACCTGATTGACTCACCAGCGTTACAGTAGGGTCCAATGAAGGCACGCACTTTCTGCACGTGGTACATGTCCGCACCGACGGCCACACCTTCGAACGCTTCACCGCAGCCCATTTGATTGAGAATGCTGAAATAGGTATGTCCGAGGGAATAAGTCTAGTGAAATTCAAATCTTGAGGATTTGGTGCTTAGGGCAGACGGGGTATATGAACGAATTGGCGTGATTGAACTGAGGTGGTGTGGCTATTGTTCCTCCTACAGGTTCATTCCGGGCAAGCAAACCTTCTCCCTGCAGAATAGAAAGAAAAAACCTTTGCAGATTTGAGCTCTCTAAATAAAGCGTGCTGAGAGTAACTATACAATCATTGATCGTAGAAGCGTAGTGGAACCTTTTTATAGGTTACACAGATGCGGTCCCGCTCATCATACCAGTAAGGGATAGGGGCGCCTTCATGAGCCTTACACATCGGTGTGATTGATTCCACCCAGACGACCAACGTGGAGTGTGCCTTCGACAGTGTACGGATACTTCCTTGAAAAGAGTTACCCCGCTGTCGCCCTCTGTTAACTAAATACATTTTGATACACTTGCGGATTTGCGCCGATACGGTTTAAGCTTGATTTGATTGCGATATCAGGATTAACTCTACAAGAATAGGAATACAAAGTGATACTTGGAAAGAATCAAAGGATAATCAAGCCAAAATAAGCTTTCCGAGGGATATTTCAAGGGTAAGACGTCAAGCAAGGCGTCATCTAAAGAGCAATGCTCATAGTTCTCCGTTTACGCAAGTCTCAGATGAAATACACCTCTTTGTCGCGGTAAATTTAGAATCAGAAATAAGTGTGATACCGTTCGGTGATCAGCAGACGCATAGAAGCCGCTTAAAATTGAGCTGAACCCACAAGAAAAGAAACTACAGTACTGAATACTTGTTCCACTCAGAAACAGCTAGATTGAGAAGAAGCACTCACTCAAGATCGAAGTCCTCATCCAGTATGCCGTCTTTCCACAGCTTGTTTTCTGGATAGCTCAAGAATTTTCTCGCCATTTTTCATGTAACCCACCGCTCCAATATGTCCGACACGGACCTAAAAGCACGCAAAAAATCGTTGAATCGCAAGAGAATAACGTATGGAAAGCATTATATTGTGTATAGAAATAAAATAGCGTAAAATAGATAAATATATTAATATTATGTATGAAGATACATGGCATATTGAAATTATACTGATTTTCATGTATGTGGTAAAATTAAAAAGGATTAAAAGGCATTACAAGCTCTTCGCCGTTGATCAATCCCTTTGTGGGATGCGGCACGCATTCTACTTCCATTCAGAATCGTAGTGGGTTATTGAATGCGATGTGGCCTATACAATGACTTGCGGTGGCCAGCCGATGTACAAGTCAGTGTTTTATCCTCCCAGACGAATCTGGTACCAATTTACCGTCCCCGGGGGGTAGAAGGCTTGGTTGGCCTGAGCGGATGTCGGCCCGGGATTCGAACCCGGAGCCGCGCGAGGTGTAAGCGCGCCACTTTTCACTACACCACCTCCGCTTCAAGGAACCTCGCAAAAACGACAACGGTCACGCTGGTAAAATATAGAGAGATAAAAATAATTCAATTGTAACATGGAATAGTATAGCGTGGTATAACAGAATTCCTCATTATAGCGCAGTGTGCTAAGAGCCAGGGCAATGGGAAGTAGTAGTAGTTGTTGTTGTAAGTATGTAGGTATGTGGGGCAATCGTTTCTTCAAACTCTCTTAAGATTCAAGATTATCCCATCCAAAGGAAGAAAATGTTGATAGCGAACTTTTCAAACAGAGGCCAAGGACTGTCGAAAATTGTAGTTGTAAATGATTTTGCGCTGCACGATTTTTTTCAAAGGTAGAGGTTACAACGAGAAAATGTGTGGACGTCTTCTACAGCTATAACGTAGTAGACGGCAATTCCGAGGACAACAAGCGAGAAACTGCCTATAAGTTGGTTTCTTAACCAATGTTTATAGTAAATTCACTTGTCATACATTACACAAATCCGGAGCGGAATACGATGCATGGTGCCCTCTAAAATATGACCTTACGTGTTTAAGTTGTGAGTTACTTTTGGAATGTGTTCTGATAGCAATCAACTTTTGAAAAAATCTTCAGAAAGAGAAAAATACCGTTCGGTGTGAAAACGAGTTACCGTAATCAACGAAATGTGAAAGTAACACTAAATATCGAGGAAACAAGCGTTTATGACTCACCTTGACAGCCTGAATGTATGCCAGTAAGCACAGTAGAAATAGGATACTCTGATAATGCACCATTCTTAGGTGAGTAGATGGTGTTAACTGCCTCGACTGCCCACTTTATACAAAGGGACATTGTAAGCTTTAGCGTCACATGAAGCATTAGCTGTACTTTAAAGACGATTATCCAGCGTCAGGCAATCAGTTGATGGATCGAATCTTCTACAGCTTATCTGTACTGACTACGAATCTTCAGAAGTTGTCTGGCAGACGGATGAATATCCATTTGCCCTTGAAGATGAGCTACACGCTTCGGGATTTATTCCAGTAAGGTAAATATGACGACCAAAGACCGTGATCTGGACGTCAGAGATGGGTACACATCAATCCGTTTCGGGTCACAGAAAAGAGACTAGTACTTTAGAGAATCAATGCTTGTCGTGTAGTCGGTCTCCCGTCTGCCCAACTTTGCGGGTTTTGTCTCGCGAAGCTTCCCTGAAGTCTCACAGTCCATTTTACCTCTCGCACTAAGTCCGACCTTTTGATGAATACTAGCATAAGCTTCTCAACTAATGTTTAACATGTTGACGACCCCGTGTCACGTGATTCGTATAAGGATCACTCGGTCTCACGGCCTCAAAGAAACCGCGTCCTTCTCAGATGCACGGCTTTTTTTGCTTTACATCTTTACTCTGAGTTCATGTATTTAAAAGCTTGACAGCATCTCAACAGTAGAGCTCACTCATACTGCTATTCACTGTCTTCACCAACATATGGACACGCTCAGAAGATATCCGCACAGTAAACAGAGGCGGCGCTGAAGAAGATGAATGTCGGCAAAGTCCAAATAGATCCCCACAACTTACCGGCTGATTTCTGGAATTCACAACTCTGGTTTTCTGCAGAATGCTGACAAAGCTCTTTGAGCAGATCGTTGGTGAAAAGAAGGGACAAAAGGATAGGTCGCAGAGCACGATCATCCCGGTTTGAAAGGAGAAGGGCAGCCCAGCAGACTGCACAAAGTACCCCCCAATTCATCTACTTTCGCACCTCATGAAAATTCTTAGAAGAGTTGGTGACGCATGTGTTCGTGATATGGTCCAGCTTCCCACCATTTAGTGTGGCTTTGTCGCCAGCTGTAGCTCATCGAAGCCTGAGCGTGTAGACTTCCGAGACATGGAGAATGCATTTGATCGCGTTCCTTGTGACGTTATAGGGTACTCCCTGCGGAAACACTGCATCTCTAAGAGCTAATCTAGCGGGTGCACGAGAGCCAACCATTTCCACGGAGTTTACTGTCACCGTCGGGGTACACTACGCGCTCTCCCCCTCGTTTTCGTTGCCGTCATTTACGCCACCTCACCAGATCTACAGCAAGAAGCCCCTCGAATGATTTTATGCTTATGATGTGATGCTTGCCTGTGAAGATAGAAGCACACTCCTACAGTTCAAGCTTGAGCCGATTACCTGATGGAGTTTGGACTCACGTTGAGTGTCAAAAAGACTCCACAACCGATCCAAGGGAGCCCGCTCCATAGATCGTTGAAACCGAGCTCAACGCGACACTAATAAACAATCCAGGTAGTCTCAGAGTAGCCACTTTGCGCTCTGATAGCGATGTGAACTCTCGAGTGCGTGCAGGTCTAAGTGGTTAGTGTCTAGGACCCTCTGCGGCAAAAAGCCAGAGCGCTCCAACTCATAAATCTGTTGTTCGACCGGTCGCGCTGCATGGTACTGAGTGCTAGCCGGTAGCAAAGAATTAAGCTCTCATCGATGTGATGGAGATGAAAATGTGGTGGTGGGTGGCGGGCTCCAGGCTGTCGGACCGCACTTGTACGATGTCGTGGTGCGAAAAATGCGCCTTCTGAGGCACGGTCTGCGCGAAGCTGACTCGTCTATAAGGCTGGTCTTTAGCTCGAGGTACTTGGAATGCGGCCAAGAAGGGGGGGGGGTTCAAACAGCGCTAGCTTGACTTGCTTCATACCGACTTAAAATTGCCGACATTCACCAAGATCACTTCTCTCATTAAATTGAGAGAAGTGTCGCCACTTGAACCAGAAACCGCACTTCCACCGATCGAGGACAAAATGCTGAAGAAAAAAAGGAGGAGATTTTGTTTATGTTACAAATATCGCCAATGGATATGCTACTCTCGTTGACAATAGGAACATTACTCTCATTTCAACACCTTCATTTCTTTGATTTTAGCTTTTTGTATTCGGCTTCAGCAGTATCATGATTAACATAATCTACTATATATATTCCGCTATGTGTCTGTGTGTGCTGTGTACTGTGTTGTGTGTGGTGTGCTTTGGTGTGTGTGGAAGGTGGTGTGGTCGTGGTATTGTCTACGAATCATAGCGAACCGTCGCAGAAAGAGATAGGATGACAGTTCCAAGAAGTGATATACATGGCAGGACGGGAACACTTTTGGTGGGTGTCAGGAGGTGATAACACTTGATAAGATACGATAAGGGGCCGTAGAAGGGGAGGGTGACTGAATTCGTAGCGCAAGTTGCAGCAGGTGTGGGACCGTGATTTCAAGGAGTGATATACATGGCAGGACGGGAACACTTTTGATGGGTTGACAGAGGTCGGATGACACCTGCATAAGATCGGATAAGGGGCCCTTAGAACGGAGGTGTGAGCCGAAATCGTAGTACCATCGGCAGCGGCTGGCAAGACCTGTGAATTCAGAAGTGCATTATACATGCAGGACGGTTCGTCGCGGAACACTTTTGATGGTGACAGAAGGTTGCGAGTGACGCTTGATAAGATTCGATAAGGCGCTTAGAAGCGCCGTGGCGGGGTGCACCAACATCTAGGCTTTTGTTCTGGTTTTGTTGTCTTTTTCTCTTTTCTCTTGTTTTGTTTCCTTTTGACGTTTTTTTTTTTTTTTTTTTTCTTTTTTCTTGTTTTTTCCCTTCTCCCGTCCTTTTTTTTTTTTTTTTTCTTTTTTTCTTTCTTTTCTTTTTTTTTTTGTCTTTTTTTCTCTTTCTGGTCTGTTTTTCTTTTTTTTTTTTTTTTTTTTTTTTTTTTTTTTTTTTTTTTTTTTTTTTTTTTTTTTTTTTTTTTTTTTTTTTTTTTTTTTTTTTTTTTTTTTTTTTTTTTTTTTTTTTTTTTTTTTTTTTTTTTTTTTTTTTTTTTTTTTTTAGCGCCAAAATGCAGCAGCTGCGGGACCGTGATTTCAAGGAGTGATATACATGGCAGGACGGGAACACTTTTGATGGTGACAGGAGGTGATAACACTTGATAAGATTCGATAAGGGGCCTTAAAAGGGGGGAGGGTGACCGAATTCGTGGCAAGTTGCAGCAACGGCGGGACCATGATTTCAAGTACTGATATGCCGTAGGGTGGGGCTGGCAGAAGCTGATAACAGTTGATAAGATCCGATAAGGGCCTCGGAAGAGGAGTCAATTCAAATTCGTGGCGCAGTTACACCAACAGTGGGAACTCAGATCCGTGAGGTGATATAGGGTGTGGGACGGGAACATTATTGGCGGGCGACAGAAAGTGATAACAGTTGATAAGATACGGTAAGCGGCCTCGGAAGGGGAGGGTCATCAGATTCGTAACGCAGGTTACAGCAACAGTGGGACCTCTGATCCGAGAGGCGATACAGTCTCTATTGTGGTGGGTGATATCGATAGTGATACGTGGACCGGAGTGCTTGATTATCGGTATCGGAAGTGGATAGGCACGCTAAAATGACAGGGTAGCATGCGGAAAATGCTTCACCCGCCCTCACAACAAAACAATTCGCATTCGATTATGACTCAATCTATAACGATCTCAATGATTCCCAACAGAACTC